TGGCACCATGACCTCACACCATGACCTCTCACCGTGACCTCACAACATGACCTGGCACCATGACCTCACACCATGACCTGGCACCATCACCTCACACTATGACATCACGGGTCAGCGCACCATGACCTCGCACTATGACCTCGCACTATGACCTCGCACTATGACCTCGCACTATGACCTCGCACTATGACCTCGCACTATGACCTCGCACTATGACCTCGCACTATGACCTCGCACTATGACCTCGCACTATGACCTCGCACTATGACCTCGCACTATGACCTCGCACTATGACCTCGCACTATGACCTCGCACTATGACCTCGCACTATGACCTCGCACTATGACCTCGCACTATGACCTCGCACTATGACCTCGCACTATGACCTCGCACTATGACCTCGCACTATGACCTCGCACTATGACCTCGCACTATGACCTCGCACTATGACCTCGCACTATGACCTCGCACTATGACCTCGCACTATGACCTCGCACTATGACCTCGCACTATGACCTCGCACTATGACCTCGCACTATGACCTCGCACTATGACCTCGCACTATGACCTCGCACTATGACCTCGCACTATGACCTCGCACTATGACCTCGCACTATGACCTCGCACTATGACCTCGCACTATGACCTCGCACCACACCATGACCTGGCACCATCACCTCACACTATGACATCACGGGTCAGCGCACCATGACATCGCACCATGACCTCGCACTATGACCTCGCACTATGACCTCGCACCACACCATGACCTTGCACCATGACCTCACATCATGACCTCGCACCATGACCTCACACCATGACCTGGCACCATCACCTCACACCATGACCTCGCACCATGACCTCACACTATGACATCACGGGTCAGCACACCATGACCTAGCACCATGACCTCACACCATGACCTCGCACCATGACCTCGCACCATGACCTCACACTATGACATCGCACCATGACCTCGCACCATGACCTCACACTATGACATCACGGGTCAGCGCACCATGACCTCGCACCATGACCTCACACTATGACCTCGCACCATGACCTCACACCATGACCTCGCACCATGACCTCACACCATGACCTCGCACCATGACCTCACACTATGACATCACGGGTCAGCGCACCATGACCTC